AGACAATCTCTCTGACTGGCCCCAGGCAAGTGGTGTCTCAGATGTTTAGGCCACACCAGGACAAAGGATGTACCCAGAGGTCTGGCTTGCAACCACTCTGATGCAAAAGCATTGCCTTAAAGCAGGTGCACTTAATATCCACTTCCCCGAGCCCTTCCCCAATTAGCTACTTAATTGTTGTTTTTTACTAAGGGAGAAAGGAAAATATTACCACATATATGGGAAAGTAGGCAAATGAACTGCATTTCATTAGTTAGGTTGAAATGAAATATAACCCAAATCAAATGTGGAACTGTCTAGAGTCTGGACCTAGTTGCAGCTCATCCCAATTTTTCAAGGAGGTTCCAAATTTTCCACATAAAAACTAACTGCAGACTTTTGCCAGAAAAAAGATTGACATTGTCCTTAAAGGCTCTGGGGACGTATTTTCATCTCAAAGTGATAAAGATCAGGTCTTTACCTATAAAGCCCTATGTGGCTTGGCATTGAAATACTGTTATATATGTCCAGTGTACATCAGAGGTGAGATTCAAATTTTTTTACTATCGGTTCTGTGGGTGTGGCTTGGTGGGTGTGGCAGGGGAAGGATACTATGAAATGTCCATTCCCTCCCCACTCCACGGGAAGGTCACTCCAAAATCCCCATTCCCTCCCGATCAGCTGGGACTCGGGACACAGAGAATAGATGGGGGTGGGGCCAGTCAGAGGTGGTATTTACCAGTTCTCCGAACTACTCAAAATTTCCACTACCGGTTCTCCAGAACTGGTCAGAACCTGCTGAATACCACTTCTGGTGTATATATATATATTGTTCTTCCAAATGGATGAGAGGGAGGAGTCACTGAGGAATACTTTTAGGTGCAGTCCCCCATATTAAGGAATGTCTCTGGTTCCCTCATGGCTGGCCTTTCAGAAGTTGATAAAACAAAACTATTTCGGAGTGGGGTGAATGGCAACCACCATGCCCATGTATTGTGGCATATTTTTGTTTTATCTTAACTTTAGTTTTTCTTAATAATGTGTTATGCATTTTTATTAAACTACTATAAGTTTATTTCTAGGTCCAAGGGCACACAAAGAGAATAAACAAATGAATAAACAAATCGTGAAGAGTATTTATCTCTATTTTTTTCAATGTATAAGCCACCTTAATAGCTCAAGTGACTCTAGGCAGTGCGTAAGGTTAAAACAACAAGACAAGGAAAAATGCAGTAATAAACAACAGAAACAATTCACTATAGTAACTTGTCAGAAAGGAGTAATGGGTTCATTACCCAGACTGTCATTCCAATTCTTTTACCACTGCATTTTACATCTGTGCTTATACCTACAAAGGTAGTTTGCTAATTGATTACCCAACATCAAAACATCCAGGGGTGGATTTCAAAAATTTTTACTACCGGTTCTGTGGGTGTGGCTTGGTGGGCGTGGCATGGCGGGCATGGCAGGGGAAGGATACTGTAAAATCTCCATTCCCTCCCCAATCCAGGGGAAGGTTACTGCAAAATCCCCATTTCCTCCTGATCAGCTGGGACTTGGGAGGCAGAGAATAGATGGGGGCAGGGCTAGTCAGAATTTTTACTACCGGTTCTCCGAACTACTCAAAATTTCTGCTACCGGTTCTCCAGAACTGGTTATAACCTGCTGAAGCCCACCTCTGAAAACATCCCTGGGTGTCTTCCAAAAGTTAAAAACAACCTTATATAGGTTAAGCCGAGAGATAGAGTACAGTAGCCGTCATCTTACAACCATTTGTTAGCAACTGTTCTGAAAAAAAAATGACTTGCAACCAGTCCTTGCACTTACAACCGTTGCTGTATTCCCAAAGTCATGTGATCAAAATTTGGGCACTTGGCAACTGGCATGTATTTATGATGATTGTAGCATCCCAGGGCCACGTGATTGTCATTTCTGACCTTCCCAGCCAGCTTCTAACAAGCAAAGTCAGTTTGGGAAGCTGGATTTGCTTCACGACTACATGATTCACTTATGGCAGGAGAGGAATTCTCTCCATGATCTCGAGTTTGCAGCGATTCATTTAGCAACTATGATAACAAAGGTCGTAAAACTGGACACAACTCACTTAACAAGAAGATTGTTCGGCAACCGAAATCCTTGTCCCAGTTGTAGCCATAAATTGAGACTAACTGTGTTGGTTACATTCTTAAAGGCAGAAATTCACTTCTAAATTGTCCACTTGCTGTGACTCTTAGATTACGGGACTATGGATACCGCTTTCTGGACTCAGCTGAAACCCCACTTGTCAGCTGCTTAAGGGAAACAGTTTGGTCATTTTTTTCCTCAGGCTAAACCACCTTCCTGGACTGTTGCAAGTATGGTGGGTTGTGGATCATGCCTGACAAAATTCCTCTGAGGAAGGGAGATTAGTATGTAAAAATAGACGCAGACAGGCAGAGAGACATAATGCCTCATTTCAAGAAATAGCATCTTTAAAAAAAAAAAAAGCTGTGGAACTATTGAGGGAAGGCAACATGTTTAAGGAGCAAAAAATTGGTAGGGTGTGTTGCTTACGAAGGATGAGTTCATACACAGTGGGAAAAGCAGAGCACATCTTCCGTGCTTCTGTCTCGCTTTAATGTGCCAAGTATTTTACAGCATGTTCCCTCCACCTACTTCTCTCTTTCTCTCTATTAACAGAAAGTAGTTATTAAGGGAAATATTCCAGTATGATTCAGTGGCCTAATCCTGCAAACCAAGCATTGTATAATACACAACTCTGGATGGTCATATAATAAGAAATGCCCCAAATAAATTTCTTTCCATAGAAAAGTACCTAGGTGTGTGGGGTGGGCTGGGGAGAGGGAAACAGTTAAGATCAGAAGTCTGCGAAGAAATTAACAGAAAGCTTTCCACCATTGTTATTTCTGGAATCTTATGCCTTGAGTCTTTTAGTCTTAATAAGAAAAAGAAACTAAAGAGTTCCCAGCTTTGCTCCTAGCAACCATTTGGGCTACCAACTACCCACCCCCTCTTCTCCCCTTCCCCCTCTTGAATTCTCCGTTCTCACTCATGGCAGGAGAGGAATCAAGTAGCACTAGATGTTGAGGGCGATGATCACAAAGAACAAAGTTGTATTGCCATCCATTAAAGCAAATGGAGCAGTGTCATTTACTTCACTCGGAAGGAAGAATACAAGCAGTGATTCTAAACCCTGGAATATTGTTAAGGGCCTGTGGGATATGATTACAGATGTCTGCAGTCCAATTGGTGTAATTATTCTTTAAAGTGTTTGATGAATGTTAGTAATTGGATAAGATATAGAGAACATAAATTGATCATGCATTGTAGAGGCCTGACCAACTTTAGTCTGTCGTTCTCTGTCTTGTGTGTGTGTGTGAGAGAGAGAGAGAGAGAGAGAGAGAGGGGAGGGAGGGAGAGAGAGAGAGGGGGAGGGAGAGAGAGAGAGAGAGAGACAGAGAGACAGAGAGAGGATAATAAATATTACACAGAAACATTTAAAAAACTCCCTTCGCATGGGTGGTATGTGTCTTCCTCAATCTTGAGGCCTGAGAGTTTGACAGTTCTGTGCAGGATCTTAGCTGTTCCCAGCACTGCATTCTTCTGGACAGAGAATTCCAATGTGATTCCTGGGATCTGTTGCAGCCACTATTTCATTTAATTAATTAAATTTATATGCCGCCCCTCTCCAAAGACTCAGGGCGGCTCACAATACATTTTAAAAAATAATTATAAAAAAAAAACATTGAAAAATTAAAAACATTAAAAACTCATTCACGCCATTCATGGCCGGATCTCGCCAGATCACAAGAGTGAGATCAACGGCCCCAGGCCAGCCAGAAAAGCCAGGTCTTCCAAATAAATATATTCCAAATAGAGAGGCACCTCTTTTCATATTCAGAGCCGTGATGGTGCAGTGGTTAGAATGCAGTATTGCAGGCTAACTCTGCATTTCCACTGTCAGGAGTTCGATCCTGACTGGCTTAAGGTTGACTCAGCTTTCCATTCTTCCGAGGGTAGTAAAATGAGATGGTTGGGGGCAATATGCTGACTCTGTAAACCACTTAGAGAGGGTTGTAAAGCACTGTAAAGCAGTATATAAGTCTAAGTGCTATTGTTACTGCTGTATAAAAATTGTTGATGCATATGAATCTCATCTCTCCACTGGGAAGCTCTTCCTCCAGATACAGTTTGTATTGAGAGCTATTACAGAAGCAATTGCCTTCAAGTCCAACAGGACAATATACAGGATTATTAGGTCCAAGATTGGATTATTTTTTTTAAAAAGTGTTTTTAGTATATTAACAGCCATTTAATGAGCAGGAAATCTTGTAGTTGGTCTTGTATTATAATTTTGTGGAGTATAATGGAAAAAGTTGAATGTGATGTCTTGTAATATATTCATTTATTTTACATTTTTCCATTAACCTGGAAAAGAACTCCAATTTCATAACAGATTTCACAGACATTTTGTGGGGGAATCCTCTGAGGTTAACAGGGAAATGCCCTCCTTTTTAAAATGTCTCTTCAGAATGGATCATTTTTCACATGAAATCTCTGGTCTTCAACAGAGATCATAACGCTTTTCCAGAAATCATTTAACTCCTTTCCCTTTCCCCTCCCCCCAAGTGTGTTGATTTTAGTGGATTTTAATGCCTTTTGAAAGTTAGACTGATAGATGCCAGTGGTGGATTTCAGGCTGCATTTCTGAGGAATGCTGGTTCAGCCTTTTGAAGGGGGTAAAAAGAGAGAATAAGGATTCCAAAGGAGACATATTTTTAACTTCTATAAATCAGGATTGCGGTGATAGGAAGAATCTAAACTGGAAGCTGGAGGAAAAACTCTCTCTCCCCCTCCTCCCCCCCTCCACACACACACACACACACACACACACACACACCCAGTGAAAATACAGCGCCTTTTTTGTGCGCTGGAGTGGGCCAGCTTTTTCAGACAGGAGGAATGCGGAGTGTCAAGGGGTCAGGATCAATCCGGTGTGACTTGACGAGGCAGGAAGGTGGAGAGGAATGCGAGGAATGTCGCTGTTTGTGTGGGACTCCATTCAGCCGATTGGCGAGTCCCGGACGCCTCAAGAGTATAAAAGCAGCGCCGCTGCCTGCTGGAGACTCAGACCCATCATCGCTCTCCTTTTAAAAAGCAGAGAGAAAAGGGAGAGAAAGCGGCACTTTCCCCACCCGAATCGAGCCGATCGAAGGAAGATCTGCCCTCGCCGGCTAGCGACATTTAAAACCAAAAAAGGGATCTCACTTGGACAAGGCTCCCAAAGCAGCCAGCAACTTTTACCCATCTCCCTGTGCCGAAAAGTTGCGAGAAAAAGGAGGATGGAAGCCCGCACCTTCGCCTGGGTTTTCCTCGCCGCTCTACTTAGCTGGGTAAGTGTTATTTTCTGAGACCGTCTGTCTCTCCTATTTCTTTACTCACCGGGCCCACCTCCTGGAGCGTTATTTGACCTCCCCGTCTCTGCCTCCCTCTGTCTCCCCAGGAAGCGGCCGGCCAAGAGTGCAGCGCGAAGTGCCAGTGCTCCTCCTTGCCCCCCGAGTGCCCTCCCGGGGTAAGCCTGGTCCTGGACGGCTGTGGGTGCTGCCGGGTTTGCGCCAAGCAGCTGGGCGACCTTTGCACCGAGCGGGATCCCTGCGATCCTCACAAAGGGCTCTTCTGCGACTTCGGCTCCCCGGACAACCGCAAGATCGGAGTATGCACCGGTGAGTAGTTGCTTTTTGTTCTGCGCTCTCTTTGGGACGGGAGCGATTGGAGCAGAGTGGGAAATGCTGAAAGGGAGGACTTCTCCCCCTCACACCCCCGGGGCAGCGTTTCTCGATCTCATCAGTTTTAAGATGAGTGGACTTCAACTCCCAGAATTCCCAAAATAGGGAAGCCTGCCGGATTTAAAAGTTTGCTGAAATCGGCAAACACTGTTCTAGGGCTATGCAAAGCCACGTAATTCTGAGAGCTTTCTCTCCCTTTTATGGTTTAAGCATATTTCGTTTTTTAAAAAGTGAATCTGATTGGACAATTTTCTCCCAAAGGCTTCTAGGAATGTTTAGGACTACAATCCCAGAATTCTAACTCTATCAGAATCTGATATACAGTAATTTGTACACATCTGGTGACATCCATGAGAACAGGGGTCTCCAACCTTGGCAACTTTAAGACTTGTGGACTTCGACTCCCAGAATTCCTCAGCCACCAAGAGGAATTCTGGGAGTTGAAGTCCACAAGCCTTATATTAAGTCTTATAACTTAATTAGAAAAGTATTTTTAAAAAAGTTTGATTAGAACATCTTGCTATAGTTTAGGAGGTTTCATATAGCACGGAAAGTTTTACCCAAGGTTTACACTTCTACGCCTGCCTGTTATTAAAGACAGAGGAGCTGAACATAAACAAAATCGGAAGTCAGTCCTCTTTAGCCCTTCTCTTGTATAGTTCTAGATTCCTGATATCTCCATTGCTTCTAACCCGACACTGAGTATTTATGAATGAAACCCGTTTTGTATCTTCAGCAAAAGATGGTGCTCCATGTATATTTGGAGGTATGGTGTATCGGAGTGGTGAGTCCTTCCAGAGTAGCTGCAAATACCAGTGCACCTGCCTGGATGGAGCTGTAGGCTGCGTGCCTCTCTGCAGCATGGATGTCCGTCTGCCCAGTCCTGATTGCCCATACCCACGCAGAGTGAAGCTCCCAGGAAAATGCTGTGAGGAATGGGTGTGTGATGAACCCAAGGACAAAGACCGCACTGCAGTTGGACCTGCTCTTGCCGGTGAGCTGACTTTCCTTCATATTTCTTTGGGTTGTTGCTGTACTAGCTTCAACTACATAGACCACTTTTGTCATTCTGTTGTCATAACCACATTTGCTCACTTTGATTCTTAATGTCCAATTTAAGCTAATGGTTCCCCTATGCTTTTCAGCTTACAGACTAGAAGATACCTATGGACCTGACCCATCCCTGATGCGTGCAAATTGTTTGGTCCAGACCACTGAATGGAGTGCCTGCTCAAAAACCTGTGGAATGGGAATCTCGACCAGAGTCACCAATGACAATGCCCACTGCAGGCTGGAGAAGCAAAGCCGACTTTGCATGGTGAGACCATGCAAAGCAGATCTTGAGGAGAGCATCAAGGTAAATAATTGTCCATTTCTGCTGCGTGCTTCTATAAAAATTACCTTATCCTACTTTGGAAAATCTCTAATACAAACTAATTTTCAATAAGTTGTAAAAATTGTTCAACAAGTAGGTCTGCAAAAAAAAAAAAGTTGCTTTTCTTCAGGGCGCTGAATTCCTCTTCTTCTTGCTCACCTATTCCCTATATCATTGCCCATATTGGCTTGATCTGGAGAACTTCCTCTTGTTGGATTATAGCGCTATGTGTACTTTTCCAAATTATGAAGTTCTCTAAGCCTTGTTAATGCTGTAATTCCTTTTTTTGTATTGGCAATGATGTGAAGTGTAAATGTAAATAATCAACAAAATTACATATAGTGCAGCTTTGGATATCAACTGGCCCATTTATAAAATGCAAGATATCTTATTCCCAAGAAAAGTAAAATGGGATTGCAGTCTTAACTCTATTTCTGTGGTTGTCTTTAAAAACTGCAACATGAAACCAGGTTTCTATGAATAGTAATAAAACTTTCAAGGGATTCAGGCATGAACAATTTTCTAAAAGTCCTCCGAGGAAAATTAGACATATATTTTTTAAAATTTTTGCTAAATATAGAAAGAGCAACAGTTTCAATATCTATATAAACAGTGTGTTGTCTGGTTACAGTTAGTCTGAGCAATAATCATAATACTGTGTTTCCCCAAAAATAAGGCCCTGACTTATATTTTTTTGAACCCTGAAATAAGTGCTTGGCCTTATTGCCATGAGCTCAAAAGCCCGATTGGACTTATTATCAGGGGATGTCTTATTTTGGGGGAAACAGGATAATAAGAAAATTAGACTTATAAAGGATACGAACAAGGCAAATTTAAGTATCTTTGTGGGACAAATATGAGTTTGTCTGACCATGAGACATATATAAGACTGGCAAAAATATATCTATAGATTGGATGCTACGTTTAGCCAAACATAGAACCCATTGGTACCTATATTAAAGGTAAAGACAATTGTTTCCCCTGTCCAATCGTATCTAACTCTAGTGGACTTCAATTATGGCTGGATCAGGGGCAGACTAATGCCTTTCAAGAATTTCAGGCTGTGTTATCCTTTTTTTTTTTTTTTTTTTTTGGTCATTAGCCCATGCTTATTGAAATTGATGAAGTCCAAAACATCTGGAGGTCCCCTGGTTAAGCTCTAGTCCAGAATTTACCCTAAAAAGTTAAGAAATTAAGAAAAATGTAAATGTTGGAAATATCGCATATGCTGGTGATCTGAATGGAAGCATTGTTTATCCGATGTATCAATATAAGAATTTTTTTTTTCAACAGAAAGGTAAAAAATGCATCCGCACACCGAAGATCTCTAAGCCTATCCAATTTGAGCTGTCTGGCTGTACCAGTGTAAAGACCTACCGAGCCAAATTTTGTGGTGTCTGCACTGATGGGCGTTGTTGCACCCCCCACAGAACAGCCACTCTCCCTGTGGAATTCAAATGCCCTGATGGTGAAGTCATCAAGAAGAGCATGATGTTTATCAAGACTTGTGCCTGCCACTATAACTGTCCAGGAGACAATGATATCTTTGAATCAGTCTACTACCGGAAGATGTATGGAGACATGGCATAAAGCCCCAAGAGAGATTTTTTTTTGAACTGGACTCTCGACTTGAACTGATAATGACATCTCATTTTGTTAAACGTGATTCTATAGCACAAGTGATTTAAATGTCTGATTTTTATTTTTATTTTTAAATGACAAAATTGTTCCACCTGGCCTTAAGGTCAAATTATCTACTGACCCCAAACGTTGGTTTGAAGGAAGAATAATATGAATATAATGTTGATGATGATAATGATGATGAAGAATAGTGAGAGGTGTCACTTAATTTGTGTCTTAGAGTATATTTGGGGAGAGGGATGAATAGAGATTAATTAAGGGACATAGGCAGTCTTGAGAAACATTTTCAAAAATGTGGTGGCATGTGTCCTCGTTAATTGTGCAATCAAAAAAAAAAAAAAGACCCCTTAGCAAAGTTATTGGCACTGGTTTTTGTGACAGTAACAGCTGGACTGGACATTTTTATCCAGCAGGTGCTAAGTAATTATGTTATTTGAAAATGGCAATAATTCTGCCTTTGAAACGCTGATTCAGAGGATTTGTTCAAAAAGAATCAGAATTTGACTGGACAGCTTGTGGCAATCGTTTGCTTGTCACGGGCAACATTTTTCTTTTAAAAAAAGATAGTGTAATAGTGTAAATACTGTATATGTTTATGTGTATGTATGTTTATGCGTGTTTGTATGTGTGTGTGTATATATTATTGTACAGTTATCTAACTTAATTTAAAGTTGTGTTGCCTTTTTTGTTAATGCTTTGATACATCAGTGTTAGCCTCTCTCTTTTTTTATGGTTCAAAGCTTGTCTGATCCACTGCATTCATTCAGCTCATAAAATAGAGTCTGTAATGGTAGTTTTGTTGAACTAGTAGGGGAAAAAATTAAATGAACTGGTGCTTTGATGAAGAAGATACACCAGTATCCTATCCAATCATTTCACCAAACTAATGACAAAGGGAGGAAAGTACATTTCTCTCTTTCTGAATTAGTATTCCCTGAAACAAAATGAGTGCTCTCACACCTTTCCACCTGGGAACAGTTTGTTACTTATTGAGAAGTGTGACCAAAAGTTACATGTTTGCACCTTTTTAGAAGAAAAAAAAAATAAAGTATTTTATTTTTTTATATAAACTGGATTGTACCGACTTTGATTTTGTTGAGTTTAACTGTTTTGGGATATGGTGTATGTTTACACATCATTTCAGGGGTGGGTTCTACTTACCTTTACTACTGGTTTGCAATGGGAGTGCGCATGCGCGCTTCTGTGCATACGCAGAAGCTTCTGCGCATGCACAGATCATGATGATGTCTGGGCGGGTGGGCGGAGCCTCCTACCACTTTTACTACCAGTTCGCAAGAACTGGACCAAACCAGGAGCAACCCACCACTGCATCACTTCTTCTCAGTACAGATATTTCTGTATCGGGGTGGGTTCTACTTACCTTTACTACTGGTTCGCAATGGGAGTGTGCACATGTGCTTCTGCGCAGGCGCTTTTGTGCATGCGCAGATCATGATGACGTCCGGGAGGGTGGGCAGAGACTTCCACTGCTTTTACTACCGGTTCGCAAGAACCAGACTAAACCGTCTACTGTTCTGTATGCTGGAATAACTGAGTCATCTGAGCAGGATATTGTTTTGATAGAATGACTCCACATACAAGCTCGCAATCAGAACACAGCATGGTCCAACACTAAAAATAAGCATCACCTCACCAACATGGCTGTGAAAAGGATAAGGAAACTGTAGCCTCACAGATGTTTTTTCCAATACAACACTCAGCATATTATGCAATTAATCAGTTGCAGGAGTTGTAATTCACAGCTTGCAGGTCTAATTGAACTGAAAGTTAAGCTGCTTTACTGTCCTATTCCCTAAACAAAATCATTCTGAAACTTGTCTGGGTGGCAAAATTCATGCACTCCATCTCCATTAAATATTTCTTAATTTCCATGGGTGAAATCGGCTTCTTGCCCAATGATGAATGTAAAGAGTTTGTGCTCTAAAATACAAATGCAGATGCACAGCAGAAGTATTTCAACTTCCTCTATTTTCAGAGAGTAGAAAACAATACCAGTAAACTAGTTATCACCTTCATCTAGGATTTTTTCCAGATGTTACTTTAATTGAAGCCGATTTAAATGCCAATTTCACTTTACCCAAGTGTAACCATTTTGCATTTAGTAGAGCTTATTTCTAAATAACCATGAATAAATTGAACTGCTTCTCACATTTACTTTGCTAGAACTAATATTGGCATAGTCAAGGTTGATTAAATTGCAATTCTTTGCAGGCAGATTTCATGCAGTATTTCCCTCTGGCGCTAAGTGAACATGTTAACAGAAAGAGATGGCCTTTTTTGCCTTACAATGGACTAAACTTTATAACTTTCAGTTTGCAGTGCCTTATATCCTAGCTCAGGGGTGGGCAACTGTTGCCCTTTTGCAACCTGTGGACTTCAACTCTCAGAATTCTTGAGACAGCCAAGCTGTCTCAGGAATTCTGGGAGTTGACGTCCACGGGTTGTAAAAGGGCCACAGTTGCCTACCCCTGTCCTAGCTGATGGAATTCATGAGCATCTAGGAGTCTTAGAAGTATTAGAAGAATCAGTATTGGCTGGTGAAGAAGTACCAAAGAAAGTCAGGTAGATCAAACTTTCAGTCAAGTGCACTGGAACCCCATAGTCTTTAAAGAAACTGTACCCTATGGCTTACTTTGCTGTAGCAATACTCATGTATTTTCTGCAACATTCCACAAATAGATGCCACAAGGAGCCTGGTGGTGCAGTGGACTAAACTGCTGTTAAAGTAGCACTTAGCTGCCAGCTGCCTGCAATTACTGTGAGTTCAATTCTCACCGGGCTCAAGGATGACTCAGCCTTCCATCCTTCCGAGGTAGGTAAAACAAGGACCCAGTTTGTGGGGGCAATAAGCTGACTTTGTATAAAATAAAACACCGCTTGGGGGGAGCCAAAAGCCCTATAAGCAGGTATATACAAAAGTATGAAGGCTATTGCTTAACGCATTGTAAGCCGCCCTGAGTCTCCGGAGAAGGGCGGCATATAAAGCAAACTAATAAATAAATAAATAAATAAATAAATAAATAAATAAATAAATAAATAAATAAATAAATAAATAAATAAATATCCTCAGTTCCTTCATTCTACTCATGTCAGGCTATGGAGCATCACTTTCTTGGAGAAAGGTGATATATTTAGCCAACCAGGATTTTCAGCTGAGTTGTGTTCAATTTTCTATTCTTTGATAATTAAGTTTTCCTTGAAAAGCAACGTTCAGGGACAATTCATAGATCACTGATTGTGGTGAAATCCCATTGCTGTATTGATGTGGTCCCAAGAAGCAGACCAATTATAAGGAGTTGCAGCTCATTAAAACTGCTGAAGAAATTCTTTAAGAGGCCAAAACTGTATCTTTCAGACAGCCACTAGTGGATGAAATTGAGAATAGGAAGATGTGGTCTGTAAATTGCTAAATTTTCAAACCTTCAGTGCATTATTTATCCAAAGTCTGATTTGTACGTCATTGTGGTTGAAGTAAATGACATGGGTCATATTTACATGGGAAATGCCTGCAATTTTTAAGGAAGGAAATGTCTCATTTAGTCCCAGTAAAAAATAAAGAGTACATTGTCATCACCTGTTGACTACAGAGTAGGCATTGACCCTATAATTTTTCCAGTCTGGAGTGGAAAATAGTTGGAAAAGGTTCATGGAAGATGGTGGGGAGACAGAGAGCATATGCTATCAAAGAATGAATCCAATGCACACAAAACAAATGCCATAAATCTATGCTCCCAGCTTCTTTTCACAAAGTTCCAAGATTTTACTGCCCTCTGGAAAACGCTATAAGTGATTATTATTTTTAAAAAATTAAAAGACTCAACATACATTGATCAAATTAATACTATTTTAAATATAAGCCTAGTGCGCCAAAGTAAAATAATATATTGAAGGTTTTTTTTTTTTTGCAGTTGTAATTTTGCAAATGATATAAGGATTGCAATGATAGTGGAAACAGAAATCTTCCATGCCTGTAGGCCAGGGGTGGGCAACTGTGGCCCTTTTACAACCTGTGGACTTCAACTCCCAGAATTCCTGAGACAGCCAAGCTGGCTCAGGAATTCTGGGAGTTGAAGTCCACAGGTCATAAAGGGGCCATATTTGCCCACCCCTGCTATAGGCAACTCGCATGAACTTGCAGCAATTGCATGATTGTCAGAGGGAAAAATCATGGAAATTGAGGCAAGTGTTATACTTTACATGGACATGGTTCCATTTGCTAAATCACTGAGAACATCGTGTGATTCTGCACTAATGATATGCAATTGATAAATTGATGCAAAGAAATAAATAGCTACCACACATCAGCAGCATCAGCAACAACATCCTAGCATTTTTCCTGCAGGTGCAGGGTTCACTTTTCAGATCAACAAGCGCCATCTTGTATGATCAAAAGTAACATCCGGATCTAACGGGGCATTCATGTCTGCATGTATTATATCTTGCCATCTTTGCTTCAACCTTCCACACAGGCGCTTGGAATCAGCTACCACACATACTCACAGATAAGCCCAACCCATTTTTCAATTTATCTACAAGAATATGAGGTATATAAATAACACTTCAGTGCAAACTGAAGGTAACTATTTCCTTGACTCCCTTTTATTTTCTCTTCAATGCTGTGTCAGTGAGGGAAGAAAGCACACCATTTTGTTACCATCGCTACAACACAGAATAGTTTAGAGGTGCTTTTCCATATGCTATGCGATGTTGGGAACAAGTAGTCGAAACATTCAGTGACTAATTTATTTAGTTGTTTGTATATCAAGTCATTTGTAACCTTGGTTTAGAGCCAATGATGGTGAACCAAAAGTGACATGCAGTATCATTTTTGGCCACGTGTCTAGAGGCTGCAAGAGAATGTGGTGTACTCTCATGAAACTTCCCAACCCTGTAGATGTTGTACCAGAAGACTTTGCTCTCACATGGCCTCTGAATATCACACAATAACTTCTTGCATGATTTTTTGGGAAGTTCCAGAGGCCACAAAAGAGCAGGACCTTATGTGACCTCCAGAGGGTTTGGAGGCTACATGACAGCACCCCACCTTCTGGAGTGGCTCTGCGACATCCAAAAGCTGCGGGAACTTCTCACATGATTTTCAGAAGCTTTAGAGGCCACATAAGAACGTGGTGTGTATGGAACTTTCTCTGGAAGTTGTACAAGAGTGCCTTGCTGTCATGTGGCCTCTGGAGCCTCCAAAAAGTGTGAGAGAATGGGGGGGTGCTTTCCTCACCCTTTTTTGGAGGCTGCAAGGCAAGAGCATTTTCCAGTTTCCAGGCCTCGTGTGACCTGGAAAGTTGCCTTAGACAGAGCATATTTCTCAGAGACGAATATTTACAATTATGTCAGTATGTATGTATGTCAGTATGTATGTATGTATGCATTTATTTTATTTATTTAATATATCACCCATCCAAGGTGCCTGGTTACTATGAATTGTTTCTGTTTGTTCTTGTATTTTCTCTCTCTCTCTCTCTCTCTCTCTCTCTCTCTCTCTCTCTCTCTCTGTGTGTGTGTGTGTGTGTGTGTATCTATGAGAAGAGACAGACAGACAGACAGACAGACAGATAGACAGACAGACAGAGTCATGTTAGGCCTTTCTAAATTGTTTAACAGGTTCACCATCACTGGTTTAGGCTCTGTTATTAGCACAGGGCAAACTCCTGAAAAGTTGACAACTCCTCCTCTCATCGTTTTGGGATCCTTTCAGCAAAACCTTCTGAGAATGAGGACAAGCTGCCTGGAGCAATGAATGCTGCCATCATTTTCCTTTGACTCTTGCTTCTTCTGATCAAATCAGCCAAGGCAGGATTAATACATTGGTTAAGAAATGCAATTATTTTGCTTTTACGAGAGAGGTAGTTCCTGCTTATTTCAAAGAGATGCCCGTTGCCATTCTTTTTACTTGATTCAAGACATTAGTTTTAAAACTCTAAGCGTTCCGTTCTGGAATGAATCTCTTTAATAATTAAAATGCACAAACAAGATCCTTCCTAGTACAGTGCCATTGTCAAAGGCCCATTTGTCAGGAAAATGTTTTCCTTCTATG